CCATATCTGTACATCTCTAGTAAATTGATAGAGTCTCTATCTGTCTCCTTGAATGAAAATATAGAATATAAATTGGATTCTCTGGGATTTCTTTCATGAAATGAATTTGTTTCCAGACATTTATGGAAATACATGCGGTCATGGCAAGTAAAGAAATTGAAAATATGATTCAATAAGGCTTTGAATCTCTAATTTCATAATACGAGTTGAAATATAAGTTTATTAGTTATAATTCGTGTCTAAAAGTACGATAGAATATCAAATTTGAGCTCTTAAAAAATTGATTTTATTATATTAAATAATTTTTTTTCTTTATTTATTTGATTATATTATTCAAAATTTATTTTTATCCATTATTTCTTTATAAATATTGATAAAATTTTCTCAAAATATGTAATTTGATAAATTTTTTTCAACATGTATATAATATTGTATATGAATAAAGTCTGAAATGAAAATTATGTTAAATAATAAATTAATTAAATATTAAATAATTGTACATGTGATAAAAATGAGTAATGTGATGATTTTGGGAGAAAAAAATATGTAAGGGATAAAACTTAACTTCTTATGTATTTTATTATATAAATGTTTGGGTTTTATCAAATTAAATTCAAATTTGGACAAGGATACAAAAATAGACGAAAACAATCTCAGACAAGATAAGACTGCATCAGACTTCTAGTGGCGGAAGCCTAGCGCACAAGCTGCCCTTATTTGTCCAACGACAGGGACATAAAATAAACTTTTTTTTCTGTCGGACTTTCACGCGCTCTCCATCTTGCTCACCTCATGTCCGTCAGCCACGATTGCCTTCCAAAACCAGTGCTCTCTCCAGATTCTATACATCTGTTCAATTGGCACATTTTTAGTCTCCGGCAATAACATGCACACAAATCCAGTCATCACCGCGAGCCACCCTCCAAAAAAGAAGAAAATCCCAAACTTGAAGTGGCAGAGCATAGCTAGAAAAGTTTGAGCAACAAGAAAAATGAAGAAAAAGCCCACTGCCACAGTAATACTTTGTGCAGCTGATCGAATTTCCAGTGGAAAATTTTCAGTTGGAACTAACCATCCCAAGGGACCCCGTGACAAACCAAAACCAGCAACATAAATGCATATCAAGATCAAAACCAATAAGTCATCACCTTTGCTCAACCCGCCATGATCCCCTAGCTTTGCTGCCATTAATCCTCCAATCAACATCTGTGAGACAAACATTTGACTTCCCCCCACTATAAATAAAAAACTTCGTCCAACTTTGTCAACTATCAGCAATGACAAGAGGGATGCACTTTCACCAAAACCAATTGTTCGAAAGAGAACTGGAGCATAGAAGGAGATCACATTGATTCCAGTAACCTGCTGAAAGAATGGTATTGTGATTGACATGACAAGCTGAGGCCTATATTTTGCTCGTATGATGTTCTTAAAAGGGTATTTGATGGTTTTTGAAATGCCGCTTGCTTTGATGAGATCGTCGAGTTCTGCTTGGACATCATCAGTTGCAGCATTTGTTTGGGCTTGCCATGAGCATTGCTTTGTTGAATTAAGCTGTTGGGTGTTTCTGGGAGAAAAAGTGCCCCCAGAGTTGGAATTGAGGCTGGGGCCGCAGCCATGGCTAAAGAAATTTGCCATCCCCAACCACATCTGATCTTTTCTGCGCCGTAGTTAATAAGGTTTGCTGATAGCACCCCAATACCAACACAAAAGTGAAAGCCAATGTTAAAAGCTCCTCTATATCTAGGTGTTGCCATTTCTGATAGATAGAGTGGAACAGACTGCAAACAGGAAGAAAGAAGTAAAGATATCAATTGAAGAAGACCATGTAAGTGAATAAATGGGAAAGATTTCCCTACCCATGATGGACTAACATTATGGTGCCTCCAAAGTTTGATGTTATTCTTCTTGTTTTTTTTTACTTATTTGGTTTGTCTATGAATCTGAATTATCAAAGGTATGTTTGTACAACAAAATCTAATTCTTTCAACTCATGAAAAATAAATTCTACCAAAATAGTTTCATTAGCTTCCCAGGTACTAATTTAACTATCTCAATTTCCACACAATCCACCCCCCTTCTTAGAGATGAGAAGTGTTATTTCTGGCATGATAAAAACTTTCCATAAGAAAACAGACATGTACCTGCAGCCCCTTCATTCATTATAAGACAATCAGAAAACTGTTTGAAATAGGTTATTGTTTGTATTTGTCTTAGATTGTGCAGAGGGGCATTAATTGTTTCAGTTTGTAGCATACCCTCTGTGTCCTATTTTTATGCTTGGTTTCATTTTGGGTTTCAGTAAATTGCTAGAAAAGAGAAGGCTTTCTCATTATTAGCATTTTCAGAGTTTTCGAAAAAATTTTTGGCCGGAATCAAAAGCATTTGTCCTTCTTACCGGCTTTCAGTTTGTCATAACGTCTTTCTTCTTCTTCATCTCTTAATGTTGTTGTGAGTGCCTCTAGATCCGTGCTATAATAGTGAGTTATAATAATGGAGGTATGGTTCTGCAAAATGATGTTACTGTCGCCATTTCTCTATTAGTGTGTGTTATCCTTGGGTATGAACCATGCTAATTTTTCTATTGTTTCTATTTTTTTATTCTATATAGATGGCTACACCAGTCTGATAAAAAAAAAAAAGATGGCTATACCAGGCAGCTTAAATAGCTAGTAGGAACAATAATAAGTGCAAATTAGCCTTATAAAACAAAAAAAGATACCTGATTTGCAAAACCAACCCCAACTCCAAGCAAAACACGGCCAAATATGAGCATATATACATTATAAGCTGCACAACCAAGGGCGGCACCAGTGAGAAAAGCAGCTCCACCAATGAGAAAGGCCGTAGTGACTGGTGAAGCGAAGAAGGAAGCAATTAGGCCAGCAGCATAGAGGAAGGAGGTGAAGGAGGTCAACAGTTGGCTGTCAAATTTGCAGTAGTTGCTAGTTTTGGTGTCTTATTTCATCTTATTGTACACCTCTGGGAAGAACCTCTTTAGAAATGGCTCCATAGAGGTCACTCCACCTTCACATTCACTTGCATAAATTAATAGGAGTGTCGATGCTTTTCACTTATCCAAGCACGTAAGCGTCTTATAAATTATTATTTTTTTCTTGAATAATAGTAATGACACTAGATAGTTGGTGATTGTGTGCACCCAAAGTTTGCATTGCAGTCATCAATCTTAATAAAAGTCATGAGGCTCGAACAGTTTCCCATAACAAGAGAAACAACAATAGTTGACATAGTTTGAAGGAGCTGGTGGAGAAACATAAGAATCAGACTGCTTGGTCCGTAAGAATTTTATGTACATGTGTAACAATGCAAGAAAGCAATTACCAAGTATTTGGTTTGTTTATCTACCCCTAAATGGAAAAAAAAGGGAAAGAAAAAGCCATTGAGATTAATCCTTTCTTCTTGGTGTTGGTACTGTTGAAGTGAGTGAGTGAGTGAGTTTTATATTTTTTAGTGGGCGCGCGCGAGTGAGAGAGAGAGCCAAAGAAATTTGCCCTATATAGAGTAAAAGGCCTCCAAAATTCCGGAGCAATATACATGGGTATTATACTGAGAACATGTATTAGATCAAAAATAAAAAGACCAAAAATAAAATTACAGTCTCAGTGATGATAGGTGGTCCATTTTTCCGGAGTAAAAAAGAACCTGAAATTCCAATATCGTAGCTAAAGATAATTCCTCCGGTGGCTGCAACCATACAAGATAAGACAACAAACAATGTTACTCTGCCATTATACTGCCCACCTTCACTTGTTACTGCCAACCCCACAGCCATGGCTTCCCTCACTCAGTCCCTCCCAAGTGCACACACTGAGAGAGAGAGAGAGAACATTCCAACTTGGCTGCTAAATATCAGCATCAAGTTGGTCAGGATGAGACATAATTTCAATGTAGAATATGCTTTTAGGAGTATGTGGGGCTGAATATTGAACCAATACACAAACTACCACCTACAAACAACAAGAAAACAGAGGCAAAAAGTAAGCGACATGAGAGATGAAGTTTTGTAATTTTGTGTATAAAAAAAAAGTATGTTAATTTGGAAACCAAAGATATCGCACCATGTTTGGAACCAAATGCCTTGCAGCCGCGATTTCCATAAATCTGGAGTGGGGAGATGACAAATATGGACAGTTTGGTTAAAGACTTCGGACAATCCAAAGTCTGAGTGACAAAATTAAATATTTCTTTCATACTTAAAGACCAAAAATATTAGTCCCAAAGGAAAAAAAAACCAAAACCAAAATCAGAAAAAAAAAAAAAAAAAAAAAGGGCAGCCAAGAAGCACACTTGAACAGTCTTTTGCTTTCGTGATGTTCTCTCCTGGATTTAAGAAATAACTACTGTCTTCTTGTCTTCTCAGCCTGTCTAAGATAACTACCTCGTATGCTCTCCCCTATACCTTTTGGGCTATGGGGAGAGAGCCATGAGTATGTTCCCTCATTCCCACTAGAATAGAGCCCCTCCGTGTGGCAGTGGAAGAAGTGGGATTTGACTTGTCATTCAAACCCTAGTGTGATTTCCTAATTCGAAAATTAAATTTCAATTTGCAAAAGATTTTCAACTTAAGAATGAACTTAATAGCAAATATTAGTATCAACTTGAGAATGCACTTGTTTTTATGCTAAGAGTAAAACTGTATGGTTTCTGTTGGTACTTGGTACACGCCAGCTTATCCACTTGAGTTCGTCAAAACTGAGACCAGTTAATACATAAACCTTGCATCTATATCAGGGTCTGAAACAAATAAGTGATACTCACTTTTACCCCATTTTGGAGAATTTAATTTTTAGACTTAAACCCATGATGTTCAATTTAGAAGGATAAATATTCAAAAATATATCATAGATAGTTGTAACCAATCATATGCCACTTGGGGACAAAACAATACTATTTCATTGCTACAACTCGGGATTATTGAAAACAATAAAAATGCTTTTGGATATTATTTCCCTTCAAATGAATAGTTGAAGGGAATTCTCTGGATAGAAGATGGATTATGGGAGTGTGCTACACAATCTATTGATTTGTTTGGGCAGATATGTGCTTGTCACATCAGAATTCACAACCAAATGTTTATTTGTTCCAACCTCCGATTATGACATCTATTCCTCCAATTTCATGGACTACATACAGCAAATTGATGTCTTGAATCAGGGTATTTTTTATATTAGGGTGCACAAACAGGGTATTTTTGATATTATCCATTTCACAGTCCAATGATGGAGCCAGAACTCCATTTCTACACAATCTCATTCTCCTCCAACTTTAGCATTCACTTCAATACCCCATGCTTTTCCCCAACAACTCTCTTCCAAAACCAGTGTTCCCTCCAGACTCTCTCCATCTGTTCAATTGGCACATTCTTAGTCTCTGGAAGCAACATATAGATAAACCCTGTCATCACCACCACCCACCCTGCAAAGAAGAAGAAAATCCCAGACTTGAAGTGACAGAGCATTGCCAAAAAAGTCTGAGCAACAATGAAAGTGAAGAGAAAATTCACCCCCACTGTGATACTCTGTCCTGCTGATCTTATTTCCAGTGGAAAAATTTCACTTGGAATCAACCATCCCAATGGCCCCCATGACAGACCAAAACCAGCAACATAAGCACAAATCAAGATCAAAACCCCAAAAGCATACCCTCTACTCACACCACCATGATCACCCAGTTTAGCAGCCAATATTGCTCCCACCATCATCTGTGATACAAGCATTTGAATTCCACCTACTGTTAACAATCCTCTTCTCCCGACTTTGTCGACTATCAGCATTGATATGAAGGTTGTTCCTATACCAACAGCCCCTGTCACCACTGCAGACATGAGTGAAGCACTTTCTCCTAACCCGATTGTCCTGAAAAGTAATGGAGCATAGAAGGCGATAACATTGATTCCTGTTACTTGTTGAAAGAATGGTATTGCTATTGCCATTACTAGTTGAGGCCTATACTTTCTTTGTAAGATTTTCTTGAAAGGGTGTTTGATGGTTTTTGAAATTTCACTTGCTCTGATGAGATCATCCAGTTCTGCTTGGACATTTTCGGTGCCTCGTATTCGTTGCAGCATCTGCTTGGCCTTGTCATGATCGTTTCTTCGCTGAATTAGGCTGTTGGGTGTTTCGGGCAGGAAAATTGCGCCGAGAGTGAGAATTGCGGCTGGAACTGCAGCTAGAGAGAGGGAAATCCGCCATCCCCAACCGCCTTCTATCTTCTCGGTGCCATAGTTGATGAGGTTGGCTATTAAAATCCCAATTCCAACGCTAAGTTGGAAGCCATTGTTGATTGCTCCTCTGAAATTTGGTGGCGCCATTTCTGAGAGGTACAATGGAACAGCCTGCAGAACAAGGCAAGAGTGGATTGAATTGTCAAGCAAGAAATTATTATAGCAATCTGATCTCGTTAGTCACGTATCTATTATACCACATACTAAATTGACTCACGATTCAAATAACATTCTTCTTTCTCAATGATGAACATTGCCACTACGATGATTAGGCTTTTAATACAATTAGAACGATGGGTTGACCCTGGACTTGCATTGTAATCTTGTATAATGAAGGTCATCCAACTTACCAAGCACTCCATACACTTTACCAATCAATATAAGATTATACAATTCACTATTTAGACCCAAGTGTCGTCGTTTGGGATCTTTTTCGACTAAGGTGATGTGTAATTTCACCACGCTAGTTGTCACTGTCCCAAGTCATTGTCTAGACAATCCCGATCCGATAGGAAGATAACCTGGGATGGTGGTAACTAACATAGTGGGAGTCATTCTCCAGAGTCGCACACCACTTGGCCACATTTTTTTTTTTTTTGTTGAACATCACTTGCCATGTTTTTTTTTTTTTTTGTCATAAGATGGATAAACTTGCGCCGACTACTCCCTAAAACCGGTCACCGTAACTTGAACTAGGTTAGAATATATCTCATAACAGACAATGGTGACTAGCCTTCAGGGTGGAGAAGCGATTGAACTTGAGACCTCTAGGTTAACAAAGTCCAAGCCCAACCACTAGACCACCCTGGGGTTAACACTTGCCATATTGATCTAGTGCAAATCGGAAAATTTTGTACACTTCAAGTTTGGGGTGTTGCAGTCTAATAAGAAGAATATTTTACCTGATTTGCAAAGCCAACCCCAACTCCTAGTAAGACACGGCCAAATATCAGCATGTAGACATTAACAGCTGCACCTCCGAGTGCCGCACCGGCGAGGAATGCAGCTCCTCCGGCAAGGATTGATGGCTTACGCCCAAAGGCACTTGTAGTCCATGAGGCAAAGAATGAAGCAACAAGACCAGCAATATAGAGTGAAGATGTGAATGATGTCAACAGTTGGCTGTCAAATTTGCAGTAGTTGCTGAGTTGGGTGTCTTCTTTCATCTTAGTATACACCTTTGGGAAAAATTTCTTCAGAAATGGCTCCATGGATGTCACTCCACCTTCACATTTACTTGCAAAAATCAACAAAATAGTTCTAAACGTTTGCCTAAATTCATTAGATATTGTTCTACAAAAATTAATTCTAGACACCATCGGTGAACGCAACACAAAGTCAACACAGAATTAATGGATGTGAGTTTATCTTTAGTGGGTTTGGGAGTCAAATTTGCAGTAGTTGCTGAGTTGGGTGTCTTCTTTCATCTTAGTATACACCTTTGGGAAAAATTTCTTCAGAAATGACTCCATGGATGTCACTCCACCTTCACATTTACTTGCAAAAATCAACAAAATAGTTCTAAACATTTGCCTAAATTCATTAGATATTGTTCTACAAAAATTAATTCTAGACACCATCGGTGAACGCAACACAAAGTCAACACAGAATTAATGGATGTGAGTTTATCTTTAGTGGGTTTGGGAGTCAAATTTGCAGTAGTTGCTGAGTTGGGTGTCTTCTTTCATCTTAGTATACACCTTTGGGAAAAATTTCTTCAGAAATGACTCCATGGATGTCACTCCACCTTCACATTTACTTGCAAAAATCAACAAAATAGTTCTAAACGTTTGCCTAAATTCATTAGATATTGTTCTACAAAAATTAATTCTAGACACCATCGGTGAACGCAACACAAAGTCAACACAGAATTAATGGATGTGAGTTTATCTTTAGTGGGTTTGGGAGTCAAATTTGCAGTAGTTGCTGAGTTGGGTGTCTTCTTTCATCTTAGTATACACCTTTGGGAAAAATTTCTTCAGAAATGACTCCATGGATGTCACTTCACCTTCACATTTACTTGCAAAAATCAACAAAATAGTTCTAAACGTTTGCCTAAATTCATTAGATATTGTTCTACAAAAATTAATTCTAGACACCATCGGTAAACGCAACACAAAGTCAACACAGAATTAATGGATGTGAGTTTATCTTTAGTGGATTTGGGAGTCAAATTTGCAGTAGTTGCTGAGTTGGGTGTCTTCTTTCATCTTAGTATACACCTTTGGGAAAAATTTCTTCAGAAATGACTCCATGGATGTCACTCCACCTTCACATTTACTTGCAAAAATCAACAAAATAGTTCTAAACGTTTGCCTAAATTCATTAGATATTGTTCTACAAAAATTAATTCTAGACACCATCAGTGAACGCAACACAAAGTCAACACAGAATTAATGCATGTGATAAACAGATATATTTGTCAAACCCACTTAATAAGTGGGTTAACATGAATTTAATTATAAACGACATACACGACTCGACACAACACGATCCCATACAAAACAAGCCAAAATAATTGTAAGTGACACGATTATTCTTCCATGAAATCATTGAAAAAAGAGAAAAACAAAATGAAGGGCTGCGGCTAGAAAGACCTGAAATTCCAATATCATAGCCGAAGATGACTCCTCCCATGGCAGCCATCATGCAAGATAACACAACAAACGATGTCATCCTGCCATTGTACTGCCCACCTTCAGTGCTCGTTGATACTATTCCCACTGCCATGGCTTTCTCCAAGCTCACACACACCCAGAGGACACAGAGTGATTAACTGCTTAGCCGGCCACAAATGAGAAGAGAGAGAGAGAGAGAGAGAGAGAGAGAGAGAGAGCTAACAGTCCAACTTGACTGCTAGAGATCAGCATCAGTATGGCCCATTTGCATTATTTTAAAATTTACATATTTCTTGGACTGCTTTGGAGCATGTGGGTTGGAATAAGAGAGAGAAAATCTTGTAGTCAAATGGCTTCACTATCAAGATATAATATTCCATTGTTATTGGGACATGACATTAATTTTTTTTTTTATATGATGCCTAAGTTTGTGTCGATAATTTTAATTGGTCACAAAAAAACATATTTGGACAAGAGTGTGAAAATAGGTTGAACTTATCAAAACATAGGTCTAATTGGATATAATGTTATTGTGACATAAAACCACTGGACCCCTCCCTTAAGTATTAGGACATGTAGTCATTGGGACAGGAAATTTGATATAATCCTTGAAAGGAGGAGATTTGATTGTAGTTGTTAAAAAAGGAGTCTGCAGAGGAGAAAGAGGCAAATACAATAAGAAATAGAGAAGAAAACGTATCGCACTTTGCCACTGTCTAACTTGAGGCCCCCTCAATTGGACTTTTTCTATTCATTTGTTGAATTTTTTTGTGTGTGGCAAGGGACAACTAGAGATTGTGAGTTTTAAACTTATATATATTTTGTCCCTCGGCAAATTGTTACATGTTAGCCACGTAAATTTTAACGCAAAATGATCTTGAAATAGAGTAGATTAACATTAGAATATTCTGATTGAGTTATAATCCACAAGTATTAGAAATGAAGTTGGTATAATTTTAAATAACTATTTTAACACATATTAGGTATAGATTCCATCTAATATTAAAATTTCATTTCTAATATGATGAATCCGATCTTGATATTGTCAAATGTTCCTCCAATCTAGGGGAACATTACATCATGGCCATCGTCACTACTGTCTTCTACAAATGTTGTTTGTCTCGGGCCTTCACCACCCAGCTCACTATTTCTTCCATTACAAAAACTGATCAACAACAAGAAGTATAAATACAAGAAGAGCATAATTGTCGCAACACTATCAAGGGTGCAACCAACCAAGCTAGCATAATTGTCCCAACACTCTCTACATCAGCGTCAGCAACAGCAGCTACAATGGTCAAAGCCATTAGGGTTCATGAACTTGGTGGCCCCGAGGTCTCTCTCTCTCTTACTGTTCTGTGTTCAAGTGAATAAGAATGGAGTCTGGGGCACTCCTTTATCAACGATACTGTGTTATGAACTCATGCCTCTGAAAATTGGTTCACACATCTAGACTTATTTTTAATCGATGTGGGATCGTAAAGCTTTCGTAATGAACATTCACTAACGATACGAACCCAACTGTAACCCTTTCTATTTGATGGTTCCACTCATCTATTTAGTCTTCAATAAAATAGCATAATGTTCATACATCATATTAAGTCATCTTAATCCAACGTTTTTTGCATGACTAGACCACAGAGAGTCATAGTTCACACTACGTTCGATGTCATACTCGACGTCGTGGCTAACTCTGATACCGATTGATATGAACTCATAGATAAAATTTGCCCAACTTGCCCATCCAGCTTGTAAGAGAAAGTTGCCCAAGAATTCATATTCACACATTTTAGTCATATTTTTAACCGATGTGATTCGTAACATAATGATTACCCAGGTTTTTAATTATATCCCCAAATAGTAAATTGTAGGTATGTATTTGCCCAGCTTCAGCTTTAACTTTTCCTGATGGTTAATTCTTAAAGCCCAAAAAGTTGTTTTGGAATCCAATAGTGTGTCCTTTAGACTATGCTTCTGTGCGTGTTGGAACTTGCACAATATAAAAACGAGAACAGATCTTTTTCTTGGTGAATTCGAGCGAATCAGTCGAATGGTCAACCCCGCTGCTTGGAACAGCCTGTGAGATCCTGTGGTAACCTGGAACGGTAATGGGAGACCCTCGTGGATCAAAGGAGCGATCCAATAAGGCTGAAGGAAGGTTCCTGGAACAAAGAAGAACAAGTTAGAAGGGCGCCGGAGTGTTTTCCGGCGTATCCCCTCCGACGATCAAGTCAGTCTTTGAGAAAGAGGAAGAAGAAAAACACTGAGTATGTATTATAACAAAGGTTTTTTTTTTGCATACCGTCTTGCCTTTTGCGAGGAGTATTTATACCTCAAAAACTCATGATTGCTGTCAGTGTAGTCAGTAGGTGATCATTAGGTACAGGCAGTGTGCGCACTGATTCTGATGAGGAATGTCTTCTCTTTTAACTGCTCGGGATCCCGAGCAATCAATACTGTGTCATCGGGCTGCCAACTGTTCAATGAGCTCCTCTCGGGGAGGACGCAATAAATGCCTAGCCTTAGAGACATTTATTGTCTTTCACTTCTGAGCCTTACCGCATTGAATGCAGTCTCATCAAGGAATGGTGTAATTAAATGCTTGTTTTCTCAAGTCGCGTGTCAGCAAGGTCATGCGGTCTTTCTGTCTCTGATGTGACACAATATGCCACGCGTCCATTCCTCATTGGCTGTGGCCCCTGCCTTCCTGTGCCTTCTGACACCAATTGTGTAAGACGAGGTCATGATAGCTAACCTAGCCTAGCTTAGGCTAGTGACCAATGCATCAATAGCCTCTGCTGGAGCAGAGAACTTCATCCTGAATGAGAGGGGTACATCTCGGTACCGAGGAAGAGGTACATCTCAGAGCCGAGGAAGAGGTACATATCAGAGCCGAGGAAGAGGTATATCTCAGAAACCGAGGAATAGGTACATCTTAAATCCGAGAGGGGGAGGCCTAGCGACCGATGTACCATATCAGACCGAGGGTATGTGTCGGTACATAAAAGCGTACTGGATGCCACTCGATCCCATGATAAGTACCTCGGGGTAGAGGGGACTTGTGACCCGATGGGTACGTGATCTCGATAACAGGGATCAGTAATACCGAGGACACGTGTCTTCATCTTGGAGTATTCTGAAAATGTCCCATCAACTGGCCCCCAGCCTTCGATCTTTTGATACCGAGGACACGCGTTGTAAGGAGACGAAGGGTTTTGCAACAACCCCAACTGCTTCATCATTGCCCCTAGTCGTTTTCCCTGCTTAGGATGTCGTGCGCATTAAATGTGTCATTTCGTGCTTCGCGCCCAATGATGGGATAGGTGCTATATATAAAGGGGCTTTCTCTCTTCTTTCCTCATTTCATCGTTCTGAACTTTTCTTCACAGAGAGCCCTTGCCTGAATCTTTGCCGGAGACCTCTTTTCTTCCGTTTGTCAACTGCCCAACCTTTTCACTGAAACTTTAAAGCCAGCAGACCCATCCTTGCTTCTGAACATTCTTGGAAGGAGTCGATTCAAGTTTTCCAAAAAAAACCTCTTTTTATACTCTGGTGAGTCCCAGTATCTTCTCTTTCTTTGCCCTTCTGTCTCTTTTGGTTTTTCGATCACCGGAGGTGTTTTCTGGTTGCCCTTCAGCGACCAATCCCCGGGAAGCCTTCTTGGGGATCTTCGTGGAAAAGACCCCCTCTATTTTTTATCACTTTTTGAAGATGCCTCGTCGTCGCTCTGCCCCCGAGAACCCTCAGGCTAATACTTCGAGGCCAGGGAAGTATAAAGTAAAAGATGGTGAACAAATTAATAGATTTAGGGTTAAGTACAGCGTTCCCCCGAATGTAGACATAAAGGATTATGACCCGGTTGTGCACCCTCGTATCCTCGGTACCGAGGACGCAATGCCTTTTTTTATCAAAGCCATCATAGAAAGTGGGATTAGGTTCTCTTTGCCCCATCTGCTTCTCCAGTTCCTCTCTCATTTTTGCCTCTTTCCCGGGCAGTGTTGCCTTAATGTCTTTAGGATAATTATGGGGGTCCTAGAGCTCAATAGGCGTCTTGGGGTAAACGTCGGGCTGAACGATATCCTTTTTTGTTATTCCCTCTTGAGAGTTACGCCTCAACAACACTTCTACCTCAAAGCCAGGGACCTATCCATGTACCTCGTAACTCACCTTCCTGACTTGGACAAGGGGTACAAGGATGACCTACTCATCTTCAAGGGATCTTGGCAGAGAGGTGTCGGTCCCGAGTATGACGGCTTGTTATGCCCTTTGGAATGGAGAACGACAAGTACGTCGGTTCCTTCGGGTCTATTATTTTGTTTCTGAGTTTTTCTACGTGCTCATGACCCACTCCCCTCTTTTTGCTTTGTGCAGACATCTCCCCTCGGGAAACAGCTCCTCCACCCTGGTCGTTGGTGAACTTTGCGGACCTAATCACCGTTTGGAGATTCACTGGTGACGACGGGCTCGGTCGGGCTGCCCACATCCTCCTCAATTATACTCCCAGATATAAGAAGTTTTCACAGCTTCCCCAGCCTTTCGACCCTTTGCGATGGTCTGAACTCTTCGATCAGGCGGTGGGGCAAGAAGTCGAGGAGAACTTGGAAGAAGACCCCGACCAAGCCTCGGAGGTAGAAGTAGAGGGTAGAGTTGAAGAGCTCGGGGTCAGAGAGGACTTGGTTCCTTCGCACGCCGAGGTGGGAACTTTAGGGAGAGATTCGTGGCCAGACTTTCAAATCCTACAATCTCTAAACGCCAAGGACGCCCTCGAGGTAGCCATGTCCAGCACGCGCCCGCATTGATCTAGGGTTCCTAAGGCAGAGACAAGCCCTCGCGGCCGGGAGGGGACGAGGGTTGACCGATGGGGCCCCATCTGCAAGGACCAGCGCCACCCCATCCTCAAGAGTCGTTAGTCGGGGTCAAGTGCGTGACCGGGATCCTCAGGTAGAGGAGGAGAGGAGGATCAAACATAGGCACGATGGCCTTGGCAAGGGATCTAGGGCCCCCTCCGCTCAGCATCAAAGTGGGAGAAGCCGTGGGTTGCCCCCTGTTCCTCAGCAACAACAGCAACAGCAGCAACAACAACAACATCAACAACAACAGCAGCAGCAACAGCAGACTCCTCATCCCCTTTCGCCGACAGTGGAAGCCGCGGAGTGGAATCCTCGAGCCACTGATCACATGAACCGAGTGATCAGGGTCGATGATTCCATTTTACAGGACCCCCATG